CTGGCTCCTTCTCCACTGGCGTGCCTCCCTTGGGAGCCTTGCCTTTCTGATGTAACGACTTGGTTAATTTCCGCCCCACACTCCAACCCCTCCCTGGCAGTGACTGTGTTTGGCTTTTGCTGACTGTCACATCTCCATGAGCGAATCCTGTCTGTAAATGGGAGTGAGTGAGGCTCCCACCTGGGTGGGCTCTGCGTGTGCGGAGGGCAGGGGCCCCTCATGGGGGAGCAGAATCCATGTGGGTCCTGGGAGACGTAGCAGACAGGGGGCCACACTGGAGCAGGGGAGGCCACAGAAAGCCCAACCGCTTAAATAGGCCCCCTGAGTGGGTGTCAGTCAGGATGCCCGGATGGTGGAGACTAACACGTACACAGCGCAGAGGAGACCGCGTCCGTGACAGATGGCTGGGCAGGTGCGCCCCTGCCCCTTATCTGGACCAGCAGCAGCGTCCCTGCCGGAGGGCGACCAGCCTGGAATGCCGATCAGACTCCGCTTGGCTGTACGGACCTCCTGGCGAGGGGCAGGGGAGCCGGGAGTCGGCTGCAGAAGTGAAATCCTGAAATCCTTGCATGTTGGGGTGCTCGGCCTTCCCCGGTGTCCAGCCAGGGCGGGCGCTCGTGTTTCCCTGGTGCGTCCTGAGTAGCCTTTAGAGCTGCTGAGGCAGGCGCCGTGTTTGCGCTGTTTGTGGAATGAACGACCCTGTGTGACCGTGGCCGAGAGCCGTCGCTCCCCTGGGCCTATCTCCTCCTCAGGCTCTAAAGGGTAACGTGCATCCTGTCCACAGTGTCAGACAAGCAGGCGTTTACCCGTCTGTCCCGCGCCGGGCAAGGCTCGTCCTGGCCACCGCAGGGACAGAGACAGATGCTCGGAGAGGCCACTGCTTGTCAAGCACAGAGCTGGGTTCAGGCCGTACCCCGGAGGGGCCCGGGCCGGCGTGGGCATGGCTGCAGCGCACTCCCACCCCACGGCACACGCGGGCCAGGACGGGGCGGTGGCATCGGCCATCAGCGGTGTTTGCCGGACCGGGCGCGGCCAGGAGCTCGCCTCCCCACCGGCCCGGGGCCGGTCCTCGGGCGGGCAGAGGGCACGGGTCCTGCCACAGGCCCCGCTCCCGGCCTCCCCAGCGCTGGCTGTGCAGCCGCCACTGCCGAGGAACAGAGGCAGCGGGGCCGTGGCCGTGTGTACTTAGATGATTGGATCTCATGTCTCTCAGGACTCCCGTCTCTTGTCAAGCGTGTTTAAAACTAATGGAAGTAATTAGCAAGCCGCAGAGAGCCGCGTGCAGCAGGAGCGCTTCGATCCCGCGTCGTGGCCCCAGGGCACGGAGGCAGCTCCCACGCAGGCCTCCTTCGGCGGAGCCCCGGGGCGGGGGGTGCCTTCCCCCACAAAGTGACTTCCCCCCCACGGGTGGTGCTGGGGCCAGCGTCCCGGAGGGGCTGGGGCTGCTGACAGCCTGCCCGACTCACCGGGGGCCTGGGGCGCTGCAGCCTCAGTGACCAGCTGCAGGTGCCGCCCACGACCTGTTTCCCCAAACACCGGCACAAAGTTCCCTCTCGAGGACCGAGGTGCGCCCAGAGCCGGTCAAAGGAGAGTCGCCCTGGGGGCATCTGGGTGGCGCAGTCGGTTGAGCATCCGACTCATGGTTTCTGCTCAGGTCATGATCACAGGGTCCTGGGATCGAGCCCTGCATTGGGCTCCACCCTCAGCATGGAGTCTGCTTGGGATTCTCTTCCTCTCCCTCTGCCCCTCCCACACGTGCTCTCTTTCTTTCTCTAAAATAAATAAATAAAATCGTAAAAAAAAAAAGAGAGCGCGTCCCCCTGCCAGCTCAGCGTGGTGTTGGGGAGCCTGCAGCACCGTGCCTCCGGCTCTTGCCACCTCCAAGAAGGTGCAGGGTCTCTGGGACTCCGTTTCCTCATCCGCAGAACAGGGACGCCACCCACCAGCTGTGCCTAGCGGAGCACCAGCGCCTGGGAGGCGGGCCAGCTCCCGGAGAGCCCCAGGTCGAGGCAAGATAGATGCACAACCTGAATCTAATCGGAGCAGGAGCTTTTCCGAATTTGCTGGTTTCATCTGCAACATCAAGGGAAACGTTTCTTCTAGAATCTCATGGGACTTTAATTTTTTTTCTGAAAACTAAGGGAGAGATGAGATCAAAAACAAATACGTGGAGGAAAGTATTGACTGAACATGTTAATATTGGGCTGCTCACCCTCACGGCCTGGGATGCTAGTGGCAGCAGCCTTGGGGGCTCTTTCCCGCGGGGACCGTCTACATTCAGCTGGACCAGAGGTGTCTTCCCGCCTCCCCGTGGTTCCTGCAGACCCCGCCATTCTCCCCAGGGCTGAGGGAGAGGGTGCCCTCGCTGTGGCGTGTGGCATTTCTGGGCCGACACCGGCCATCCCGTCATGGCCGGGGTGCCGGTGGGGGTGGGGGAGCAGGGGTGCATTGTGGGGAGGCCTCGCCTCCTTTCATGCCAGCACGGTCCTCAGCCCCGGGACACGGCGGGAAGCCAGGACAGCGGCCCTGCCCTCACATGCTTGGCAGTCCAGGCGGACACGGGCAAGGAACAGAGAGAATTCCAGACAGAATGGGATGGGTGGTGCACTGTGAGGGCCAGTGAGTGGGGCTGGTGTAGCCCTGGGGTCCAGCTGCTTCCCACTGAGCGAGGCCGACCCTGCCAGAAACCCACAGGCTCCTGACCACACCCACCATCACACAGACCTTAGTCCCAAAGCTTGGCTGCCCTGAGTGCTGTCCCAAGCCAGTCTAGAGGAGCTCGAGGGCGCGCGGGCCCAGCAGCGGCACCCTGGCCCTAAGGGTGGACAGGAGAAGGAGGTGTTCTGGGCCACGTGGAGCTGGCTTTCCAGAACTCTGAGATCTGCAGGGGAAGCCCCATGCGGTGCCCAGGCCTGCATGCCAGAGTGGCAGGGGGTCCAGGCTGCAGGGCCCCGTGCCCATCTGTGCCCCTTCCCCCATGAGCACCATGTTAGTTGGGGCAACCCCTTCCCGAGAACAAGCCAGGTGACCGGTGGCTGCAGCCAGGCTCTTCCATGTGCCCATAAGGGTCCCCAGGGGAAGAGGCGGCCTCCCCAAGACCCACGGCTCTGCTCTGGCGAAACTGGCCAGTCCCTGTCAGACAGGCTGGAAAGACGTCGACTTTAAAGCCCCCGAAGATCTTGTGAACACCCCCGTGGGGAAGCGCTGGTTTTATGCCATGGGCTTGACTGCTGCAGGTTGCACATCCCAGCCCTCCTGATGGCCACCTCTTTGGTGTCTCCCCGCCCCTGGGGACCTGCGTCGTCTGAAGGGTCCCGGTACCCAAGGCTCCGAATTTCCCACTGGGTCCACACCTTTGCTTCCCTCGACGTCACCCAAACTCTGCGACTTTGTTTTAAATACAACGGTGTCGACATTTAATCTTGACGAAATGCAAGCCCTCCCGCCGCTGTCCAAGGCTGTTAGTGTTACTAGAAATTCGCATGTAGACAACAAAGGAGCTTATTTATGTATTTTGGGCTCCTCTCCCAACATTCATAGAACCGTCATGTTTATCTTTGTCCGTGACAATTGGGTGTCAGGAATGACTGATGCGCTGTTGGTTGTTGATTTTAATTTGCTCACCGTCAGGGCGAGTGATACTATGAGAACAGTGTGGGATTTTCTTGTCAATTGAAAGGAAATGCGATTATTCCCTCGTCGTCATCAGGGGACGGATTTCCACAGAGCCACAACCCGCCCAAGCCCCGGTTGTGCTCAGCATCCAAGGAAGGACCGGGTCTGTGCACCCGGGGGGGCGACTCCCACCCTCTCGGGCCAGACGGGGCAGAAATTCCTGGCATCGTCACATTTGAAAACATTTTTACACCAAACCCATGAGTGGGAGGTAACGGGGAGACGTCTGCAGTGAAGTATGCGAGATATGGGAACATACACATCATTTATTATTTCAAGGCAAGCAACAATAAAAGGTGAACACAGGGGGAAAACACTTTATCAAATGGAACAGCAAAGTGCTTTTTTTAGTTTCTGGAATAAATAGTAATTAAATCATGGAGGCTGTGACAGTGAAATTGCTTAAAAAAGCAATCCTCCCACCGTAATTGCTGAGATACCCACACTTTTATAAATACTAGGTAACTTGACCCATCGTTTCTATCAGCGGAATGTGACACCAGCTGTTGGCACCCCCTCATTTAGCGTGGCGTTGGCAACAGCTGCAAGTGCACTGATGTGGTCCCGGTGAACGCGCGGCTCCCGAGGTGTCCTTCCCAGCCCAGGAATTATGGGTGGCAGGATGACGGAGTCACGGGGAGGGGCTGGAGACGCGATGCCAAATTCCTGTGCGGGGAGCAAAGCTACGCGCCACGGCCTCAGGAAACTGGCTGCCTCCACCACCCCGTGTCCCCGCCGCTGAAGGCCCTGGCTGCCCCCGGTCCCACCAGCCCACCCTGACCGAGTCCGCAGGGGTCAGGTTGGGTCCCTGAGTGGTAAAATGCACCAGAGAACACAGCAGATTCAAGCCCCAGTCAGAACACCGCCTTCCCCGGCTCCTTCCCTGCACTTGGCCCTCTTGGGGTGGAAACAGATCCGTGGGGCCTTTCAAGTGAGCTGGTGGCACGAGGTTTGCAGGGGCTGAGTGGGGGGACGGCCGAGTGGGTCGTTCTCAGGCGGGCACCCCCACGGCGTCACTCACAGACCCAAGGATACAGACCGGGAGGTGGGTGTGCGCAGACGGAGAGCGGCCAGCCGCGGGTTAGACAGGAGAACAGCGCACCCTTTGCTGTTTTATGTCCTTCCGCAAAGGCCAGTAGCTAATTCCTGGGACGGGAGGGATAAAACACAATACCTGAAGGTTGAAAAATCAGTTAATCATTATTTTCCCCTTGTTGCTCCTTTGGAGACTGAGAACCCGTGGCTGAAAAGCAACCATGTGAGCTTCTGAGCCACCATTTCGCCCGCCGGGCCGGTCCTGACCCTGTCTCCCTTTCCACTTGCAGTCACGTTCAGCAGCTGTTTGGGGACCAAGGGGACGCGGTATGAGACCAACAGCCTGGACTTCAAAGTAGAGGCGGATGGGACGGTCTTTGCCACGCGGGAGCTGCGGATCCCCTCCGAGCAGGTGGCGTTCACCGTGACCGCGTGGGACCGCCAGACGGCCAAGCGATGGGATGCCGTGGTGCGCCTGCTGGTGGCCCAGCCCTCGTCCGCCCACTCCACACACAAGGTGAGATGTGACCACACGTGGAGCTTGGGGAGCGAGCGTCCTTCCTCCCTCTGCAGGGGCTCCCCAGGTACGGGACACCTCAGCGGGCTGTGCAGGCCCCAGAGGACACTCTGATCTGCCACCTTCCTGAGGGACATCTGCCTCGCGGACAGGCGCACGGGCCGCACCCCGCCGTAATGCACGGCTCTCACCCCCTTGACGGTCTTAATTGTTCTTTCCCGTTTCTCACTGGGCACCTGACATTCTGTAGCCTCTCCTGAGTGCAGCTTCGGCCTCAGGCATGGGGCTGGCGGGTTAGCAGGGAAGTTCCAGCCAGGTTGGTCCCTGTGACAGGTCCCAACTGCTCAGTGCCCAGGGGTCAGCCCGTGTGCTGAAACCCTCACGGCTGACAGGGGGCCTCGGGGACCAGCAGAATTACTGTGGTGCCGGGTGCTGCGCGTCAGCAACGGAGAACAGACGGCTTGAAGCTATGCCTTCAACAGCGGTCCCGGGCATCCCCTCAGAAAAGAGCCCTGGGAGGTAAAGGGTTAAAGCACGTTGATCAGATTCCTTTCTGTAGATTTACCGAGAGCCTCACACGATTAATGTGTTTCGTGGACCGCGGGGGCAAGCAGGCCGCAAGTTTCCCAAGCCTGCTGGTCAAGGAACCCTCCTCATGGAACATCTTGTAAGGCAGGTCTTTGGGAAAACAGGGACCTGGGTTTTGTTTCGTCTTATTTATAAACAGCGTAGAGGTGGTTTAGTTAGATAAGAGAAAGCGGTGACTCTGGTGGGTAGCTTTCCCCCCGTGATGAGCTGACCCACCTGAGAAGGACATCGAGTGCCCTCGTGGGTGTGTTGAACCATATCAACAGCAGAGCCCCAGCAGCTGCAAGCCTCCCCATGTGGATGCTAAAGACCCCAGTACAGACGGATGTGGCTTCCATTCTTTCCTGAGTGCTGATGACGAGCCACGTGCTGGCGAGAAGGCAGTGAGCAAGGCGGGCCCTGGGGCGCCCCGGGACGTGGCCGCAGGAGGGGCCCTTCCCCCCAGGCGCGAGGCCAGGGGCCGGCAGTGTTGAGGCTTACATCCCTGATTGCGATGCAGAAGCTACAGGCCTGTGAACAGAGGATAGAGGTCCTTAAAGCCTGTGGAAGGCCTCAGATAAAAGGCACTAATTGAAAACATAATGACACCTTTTGTTAGGGTTGTTAATGAAGCAATTTCTGATGCAGTTAATCCCCTGATCCTCTCGGAAGGTGATTGCAATTAGACAGTCCTCAGTTCGAGTGCCCCTCCAACCCCACATCAGGCTGGCCCAACCAGCACCCAAGGAGCAAAGAGGGAGACAGAGAATCCACGTCTCAGGCTCAGCCATCCCGGTGAGTCCAGCTGCCAGGTGCCATGGGGCCACACCCCTGCATGTATGAAAGGTGGGCAGGGTCTCTACAGCCCACCCAACCAGCCCTTCTCTATTTATTTCAAGTCACCTGATGGCTCCCTGTTTCTTCTTACTTTCAAACCCAAAGTTCCTTGTCCTGACTTTTTAAGACCCTACCCTAGGCATCCACTCCTCTGACCCTCAGAACATCTGGAAGTGGCTCCTGTCATTGTCCCCACTTTACAGATAGGGACGCTCAGCCATGTCACTGCAGCCCCTTTCCTGCATGGGAGAATCAGTGGTCTAGAAAGGAGTGAAAACTGACTTTCTAGGTATGGCTGAGCCCAGCTTCATAAAGGAGCCTGGCTGCCCTGGGTTATGGTTTAAGTCAAGTCTTCTCCAATTTACTGGCTGATGCTTTGGGACAAGTCACATGACTTTGCTAAGATTTACTGATCTGGAAAATGGGATAACAATAGGGTTGTCACAAGTATTATATGAGATTACATGTCCTACAGATTGCAGACTCACAAGAGCCCTGCCACAAGGATGTGGCTCTTACTGCTGTCATTGGCATGGCCCCAACCCTCAGAGTCCTGTGCCTATTACAGCCACTGGACCCTCCCCAGGGTGGTTCCTGGGGGCAGGAAGGAGGGTCTGTGTGAGACACTGAGTCACTTAGTTGGTATGTCCTTACAGAGACCAATGCCAGGCTTTGAATAATGTCACTCTCTGTAAATGGATTAAGGTGATGCTGTATTGCTTATGTCCCTAACCACCTGTCAGAATCAAATGTAAATCTTCTCTGGTGGAAGGTATCTCACTGGGACTCAAATTATACCCATCTTCTCTTATATACAATGTCTAGAACTCAGCTGAAAATGATGGGCACCCAGTGCGGATGGGACAAGACCCATACTGGCTCCAGGTAACGGAGTTATCAGACAAAGATATTATAATATCTATGCTTATGGTTTCAAGCACATTGAAGACAAGATTTTGACAGAAAATTAGAAGAATAAAAAAGAATTGGGCAATTTAGGATGGAAAAATATAACAAACAAAAGAAAAAGCTCACTGGGTAGCTATATCTGCAGATTAGACGCAGTTGAAGAGAGAGTTAGTGAAGCAGAAAATGTCAGAAGAAATACTCAGGCTAAATCATAAGGAGGTAAACAGAAGGAAAACACAGAAAGAAGAGTAAGAGGCACTAGAGAAGTAGCAAGAAGTCCCAGTACGTGCGTGTTTGGAATATGAGGTGGGGGATAAAATGGAGCAGAAGTAACATTTGAAAAGATAATGGCAGCAAACATCCAGGCATCACTTCAACATGCCCCATGAACTCTACGTGGGATAATATGAAGAAAGTTGCACTCAGGCACGGTCTTCATCTGTTCAGGCTGCTGGAAGGATGCACCGTAGGCTGGGCGGCTTGTGAGCAACAGACATGTATTCCTCGAGGTTCTGGAGGCTGGAGCTCTGCCATCAGGATGGCGGCATGATCAGGTCCCCAGGAGGGCCTCCTGCCGACCGCTGTCTTCAGATGTCTTGTATCCTCACCCGACAGTGAGTGGACAGAAGAGAGTCACTAATGGGCACCAGTCCCATCTCAGGAGCTCCACCCGCATGACCTCCTCTGATCCTAATCACCCCCTGGAGGCCACACCTCCTGACATCGTCACCCTGAGGATTAGGTTCCAGCATAGGAATTTGGGGACACACATTCAGTCCACCAACAGGCATTTTATAGTAAAACGTGTGAAAACCAAAGTCACTAGAAGCAAACAGAAGCCAGGTGCAGGGAAGGCACAGTGGTGACATGGGAGCTGGCTTCTCGTGGGGACGATGGGGGCTGGAAGGCAGCGGGTGGTGACAGACACAGGATTCTGTTACCCAGTGAAAGTCCCCTTCAGGAAGTGCCCCAAGAGACTGCCACAGGTTCTGTTCTTCAGGCAGAAACAGGATGCTTGGAGACAAAAGCCCGGAATGAAAAGCCATGAAAAGATTAAGTAGATGCAAATAGCTGTGAGCAGGGCGGATGAGACACTGCACAGGGCGTAAGCTACACGACAGGTGGGAAAGCAGGCACAGAGTCGGAGGGTCCAGGCTGCTTGCATTGTCCTGGAAGATGATGGAAATCGAATTAATACAATACCCAGATAAGACAAAGACCCCTGTTATGAGGTTTTGGAAAATCACCACAGGGTCACGGTCACTTCAAGTGACACATCACTTGAAGATGCACATGGAGTCCTGGCCAAAGGAGGCGGCATTTCACGTCAGAAGTAAATCTGAACTTGAGGAGTGACCTAAAGTCTCTGTGGCGTCTGACCTTGTACTCAAGTGATAAAAACATATCTGTCATAATAACAGATCTTCATTTTCCCGTGGGATTCTCATAGAACTCTAACATGATTGCAGAGGATGCATTATGCTCTTGCCAGGTATCTTAATAATGACCAGCACCGTGCAAAGGAGAGCTAAACCCTCCCGCCTCCTGGGTGCATTTCCTGTTCAAATGTTTTCACGTCTTTGAGTTTGCAAATTTAGGCAATATTTTTTAGAAGTGCCTTAAATAATATAATTTGACCTTTTCCTCTGTTAACAATGTGAATTTTCAACCAAGTAATCTTTTTTTAAAGATTTTACTTATAGAGTAAGCAGGAAGGAGAGTATGAGTGGGTAGGGTAAAGGGAGAGGGATAAGCAGGCTCTCCCCACTGAGTAAGGAGCCCAAAAAAGTAGACTTTCTTAAACAAAAAAAAGTCATAAGATTGTTTAAGTTCTAACATAATAGATGGGAAAATAGAATACTAAAACTTGCCAATCCAAAAAATGGAAGGAAAGAATAGAGGAGCTCTGTGTTTCTCTTTGAGAAAGATGGTGGATTTGCAAGTATATATTAATTATAATAAATGAAAATAGATGAGCTCTTGTAATTAAAAGAAAACAAACTGACAGATCAAAGAAAAACCCCAACTATATACAGGTCACGGAAGACAGATCTAAAAAGTGTAAAGATGGAGAAAAAAAATGAAAGTAAAAAGACACAGGGAAAATACCATGTAATTCTCATCAGAAGCGAGCTGGGTGCTCGGTTAATATACGAGTCCTAAATTTGAGTAATTTGCACTGAGCGCTGAAACCAGCGGGAGGAGCCAAGGTCTGGGGTGTGCAGCCTTACGTGCGTAAGAATGGAAGGAAGGTGGAAACCGGCAGGCTACACATTCATCTCAAGAAATTAGGGAAAGAAATAAAATGGAACAAAGTAGAAAGAAGGAAATAGTAAAACCAAGAGGAGAAGTGATGGAATCAAAATAATAGAATTCACAGACAAGAGCTGATTCTTTAAACTCCTGAGCTGATCGGAGTAAGAAGGGAAACCACCAGTAATCCTTATCAGGAATGAAAATAGGGCGTCGTGACCACTCTCACAGATGGTTTCAGTGTGTTATGTACCATTTATGCCAATGTATATGGAAACATACCTGAAATGATAACCTTCTGGGAATGTACAACTCACCAAAACTAACTCGAGAAGAAAATCTGAACTGTTTTGTTATTACAAACAAATTTAAATTCAAACCCGTGTCCCGAGGCCATGCCCACACATTGTGGCTGGGCTGAAGTTCTCCCCAAA